TACAATCAATTTTGTACTGCTAAGTACCGAAAATTTTTCGCATTACAAAATACTAAAAAAAATTTATTCAAATTTTCAAGTACCATTATTCAAGTATTTATATTTCAAATCCATTTTCATAAAAAAAATTGTATTGATATTTTCAATCTTCTTCATTCTGGAATAAATGATATATTGTAATGTCGGTACTTTTTAAGTACAAATCTCTCAATACAATAAAAATTCTATCTAAATACACAGAACATGATTAGTGTAACCGCTTGGTGGAATGCGCCACGCACCCTTAGACTCTGTCGATGATTGGCATTATTACTTGGGAGTCCCAGCTGTAGCGCGACTGATACGCGGAATTTGTTCGCAGATCAATTGTCGGTATACTCAAATCTGCTTAAACAACGATTTTATTAGATAATTTATTGCATAGGTTATTAATTTTGTGTGCAAGTTATGACTGACATTAGACGATTTTTGTTTAAAAAATATTATGATGAAGATGACTCCCCTCATAATAAATCAAAATAAATCAAGCAGATGCAACGTTTGATTTTTCAAGTAGAAGCACAACTAACCATTATTGGTTAGTTGTGCCAGGTTGTGTCTGGACTTTATTGGTTATCAAGTTAATGATGATTTACGTTTGGAATTACTAAGACATCCTTGACACCCTAGCAAGACATACAATTTTAAAAAGTATGTAAACCTTGATGTTTTATGACATGAATGGCTTACATCATATCCGAGGTTAGCTTACACAGCTTTAGCAAAAGGACCCCTGTGTAAGATATTCGTATGCTTTTCTTTTTATTTCAACCTCCAGTGTAACACGGTCTACAAGGACAGTTCATTGTTTCTCCTTGCCTCAAATTTCAAGTTTCATGGAACTGCTCAGTCTCACACGACAAGTAAGTGGCATTGTGACGGAATGGCTTCATCAAATACATTTGAAAAAATGGACTTAGCGTTCATGAATCTTTAAATACGGCATATCACAAGGAAGGTGAAAAAAATCGTTTGAAACTTTGATCAATCATTTCAACAATGTCAATATAGGTGAACTTAGTGCTAAAAATAATGGTTCATTATCATAATTTCCCCTCTGCTGAAAATTCAACAATCATTTTTGCTCTATAGTCGACAAAAATTGCTGTGTTCATTTCATTACGAGTTAACCTTACGGTTTATCTGAATAATACACAAAAATGATCCGACAAGCCATAGTCTTACATCATATCCGAGGTTAGCTTACACAGCTTTAGCAAAAGGACCCCTGTGTAAGATATTCGTATGCTTTTCTTTTTATTTCAACCTCCAGTGCAACACGGTCTACAAGGACAGTTCATTGTTTCTTCTTGCCTCAAATTTCAAGTTTCATGGAACTGCTGTCTCACACGACAAATAAGTGGCATTGTGACGGAATGGCTTCATCAAATACATTTGAAAAAAATGGACTTAGCGTTCATGAATTTTTAAATACGGCATATCACAAGGAAGGTGAAAAAAATCGTTTGAAACTTTGATTCATTATTTCAACAATGTCAATATAGGTGAACTTAGTGCTAAAAATAATGGTTCATCATCATAATTTCCCTCTCTGCTGAAAATTCAACAATTATTTTTTCTCTATAGTCGACAAAAATTGCTGTGTTCATTTCATTACGAGTTAACCTTACGGTTTATCTGAATAATACACAAAAATGATCCGACAAGCCATAGCATCCAAGTTTTTCCAGCAAACCCTAATGCCACACACGGTCATAGGCCTTAGAAATATCAAGCGCATCAGCTCTTGACTCTCCATGTTTCTCGATTGCGATATTCCAAACGTGGGTGACATACGATAGAAAGCCATATTGATGATCGCTCAAGATGTTAAAGTCTTTCAAATATTCAAGGATATGGTGGTTTACGGGGCTCTACATAATTTTTGATATCACTGATGCGAAGCGACTGGTCTATTAGTTATTTGGAATATTTTTCTTGCCGTTTTTTGGGAATGGGCTGAACGTCAACAATCTTCCAACAAGAAGATAAACCCCTTCCAAAAATCAAATAGTTCACTCCTCCGCATCTTCTGCTGATATACAAGACATAAATTTAGCTGTTTGAGAAGAACTTGAATTGTTATTTCTTATTCCACTCTCATTTTGGCCCCTATCAAATTCAGTGAAATGATTGGGTGTAAGAACTTCACAAAGATAACGAATATTTATTGTTGTTGAGGATTATCTATTTGATAAATTTTCATTTATGTTAGCCTAGTCTTTTCTGTATTATTTTAATGTTCATTCAACGTTCATTGGATAATCAGTGTTAGTTGCTTCTGTTGTATGAGAACCTAAATTCCTCTTTTTTCTACGAGAACTGGGAAAACTGACAGATGTGTTTGAATACTGAAAGGAGCAATTATATTTCTTATTCAACTTGTGAATGAACTCTTCTTTCAAGAGTTGAAGACACCTACAAAAGAATAACTTGTTACATGTTTCAGAAAACCTATTATAACTTACAATCTGTATGCAGGAGAAGTTCTGAATCTACCAATTTCATAGCTAGGGGTATGAGGTTTATGTACTATAAAAACATCTGGCAAAACTATGAACTCATAGTTTTGTGCCTCCAGTTCCATTATGTGAGACACCTTGTTCCAACCAAATCCAACAAATCTCTCATCATAAGGAACAACATCACTTCTAACGACAATATAAGGCTCATAATCAACTTTCCATTTGACCTGTGGAAAATAAATGTTTGTCAAAAGTTTGTACACATACTGCGAAATTAATACCTTGTAGGGTTTTGAAGTAGTTTTCCAAATTTGATAATTTGTCGCAGCATGTCCTGGACTCCATATATTTGACAAAAATGGTATGACGGATCTATCTTCCATTTCCTTGAGAAGTTGTTTCTTATCTACAGGTGCTTGGCCACCGTATTTTTGAATTTCAAATGCAGGTACTATCAAGGCCTACAATAATATTACGTTGTGATTACTTATCAACAACAAATGGTTTGTCGCTGTTTTCAGACTTGTAAGCAATGTTTGAAATAAGCAAGCAAAATAAGCATCCCAAATATTGGTTTCAATTATTTGATCTTCAATCTCTGATGTTCAATCACGATAATTTGAGTTCATTTTTCAATTTGCTCAGATGCCTTGAACAACCGATTCCACTCTGGCGGACTCGCTTTACCATAAGATCTGGTAACGCTAGAGCCTAAACAAAGCAGGTCACTTTCAGGGCGATTTCTTTAAACTCTTTTTTCCTGTATCTCACTATTGAGATTATCCGTATTGCTCAAAAATACTCAAGAAGTACAACTGTGGCACTTGACTCATAGGGTCAATCTTTTGTTTTACATGGATGACCTTAAGCTTAACCTTAGCCACTGAAGAAAAGAATCTACATCAGATAATACGTATGTTATTGGTATCGGGATAGACAAACGTGCAACGGTCCATCTCAAAATAGGACGATGCAGAGATTAAAAAGATCATGTACAGCTCATAGAAGAAACCATCCTGCATCATATGAATGACCAAAAGACGTATACTTGCCGTGTGGTGGAACAACGCCACCCACAGTGAATCACTCTCTCTGCAGTAAGTTTCCCTACTCCTCTGAAATAGTGAGGTGGATCAGGAATAGCTCTATCAAAACGACATAAAGACCCGAAAAATTATGTATTCCAGGATATTTTGCATGCCAAATCATCCGTTCCACAGTTTTATCTTTCCCAACAACAGGAAGGCCGTGGACTCTCATGTCTGGAATGGCACTTAGCTTAATAGATATGGAGCTTGTAAAGTCGTTAGGAGTTCAGATCTCCTCCTCTGCATGGTTCGCAAAAATAAGTGAACAGGAATAGGAGTATTTTTCTTCAATACAGCTGCCCAAGCATCTGATGTAGGTGTTCCCCAAGGTAGCGTTCTGGTCCCACTTCTTTTTGTTTTATATTTGAACGATATTGAACTTTTTATTGAATCTGAGTTCATAAACATATTTGCTGATGATACGTTGCTTATGTGTAGCGAAATGAATTTAGATAGAGTTATTCATAAAATGGATAGGATTTTAGGAGCGGCAAATGAGTATTTATGCACTAACAAATTGAAGTTAAACGTAACAAAAACAAGAGCAATGATATTCACCACGAAATATAAATACAGTTCTCTAGATATCAACGGTATCAACCTCAATATCAATAACGAAAAAATTGAAGTTGTGTCATCAGTCAAATACCTTGGTTTTCAACTGGATAATTTTTTAAATTTTGACAATCATTTTGAATATATACATAAGAAAATATCGAAAAAACTATATTTACTCTGTAGAGTAGCACAAAATTTGTCAATGCAGTCCAAAGTAACAGTTTACAATACCATTATTCAACCACACTTTGATTATTGTGCATCATTATTATTTTTATTTAGCCTCAATAAATTAAATATGCTACAAAAACTACAAAATCGAGGGATGAGAGTAATCTTGAAAACAAATCGCCGTACTACCATAAAAAGTATGCTTGATTGTTTGAATTGATTATCAGTTGAAAGTAGACTCTACTATTTTACAATTCAATTATTTGTTTGTAATTATAATATATACTTATTTCAATTTTAGACACTGAACGAGGTAATCACAACTCTGTCACCGAGTTGAAACCAGTTCAGAGAAAGGTCCATATAAAAGCCGCAGAGATCACTTAACTCCTGCGGCAACACAAGAATAAACCGATGCATGGAGTCTTCTTCAAAAGTTATAATATATTTTCCGTTAACCACCTGTCGCCCCCCTTAGAACTCTCAAAAGTAGAAATTTGTACGAGCTGAGGATTAACGAGGTCTTATCTTTTAAAGTGCGATTTATAGCACGCCTGGCCTGTGGCCTCGAACCACCTTTTCACTTAGCGGTGACCCGATCCCAATTGGCTACCTTCTCGCCTGGCCTTTGCTTTCCTCAGGTCAAGAGTGTTAAAGTCAAAACTGAGGAATTCATTATAGCTTTCCAGGTCTTTAACACCTCAATTCAAAACCCAACTGCGGGGCTTGCTGCGAGGCGCCTGAGACCCTAAGGCACTTGCAATCGGCAGGTTCAGCAAACATGGTCTCAGACGACGACGAGACACTGGTGTTACCTTATGCTCCAGGAGAAATTGAATCTTTTGTGGGGAATGAGAAGTACCAAATTAATAAAAAAAAATCTGTTTAAAATCTGTTTTTCCGTTAACCAGCTGTCGCGCCCCTACAAACGACAACCCTCAGAAGTAGAAACTTGTGTGAGCTGAGGATTAACGAGGTCTTACCTTTTAACGTGCGATTCCTAACACTAAAAATCTAATCATTTTTGCACCCTCAGGCTTATACAAGCTAATACGCCTGATGTAGTTCTTCTCGATCATCAGGGTAGTACGACATTAGTCGTGGAATTCAGTTCTGGCCGAGGCAAATATTGTTCAGAAAAAGGAAGAAAAATGTATGAAATATCAATATATCTTCGTTGAACTTCGCAGATTCTATCAAGACCACTTTGTTAAAATTGTTGTTCTGATTATTGTAGTCCTTGGTGGAAAGATGCTTTCCCTACTCTCGAAACTCAAGGTCACATCAGCTTGCAGAAGGCTGTTATTTTTGGCTTAGTGCTTCTGCTTAGGGCACACAACTCTCGGACTCAATGCTCATTCACTTTATGGTGTTATTGTTTGGTGGCGCCCTCCAGATGAGTCGGACAAGGTAAAATAATAATAATTTCATTCATCGTGAAATGCAATGCATATGCAAGAAGTATATGAGTATATTAAACCAAAGTAATAAATAAACGGTTTTCTTCTGAGGATGTTAGCTGTGTACCAAAAGCTAGTAAAAGATATGAATATGCAAACAAATCAAGTACTATATAATATTCAGTATCTACAATATAATATCTTAACATATATACAATACATATTAGCAGTTGTATGTACAATAAGATTTGATGCTTATAACACGATTTAAAATTTTGATTCGATTTTAGGGTAAATATTTATTTTTCATTCATTTCGCCATTTACCATAAGATAATGTTTTTAGTGTAGTTGTAGTTTCTATTTCATTAAATAGTTTTAGAAACAAATGGCGCACATGTTTATCATCTACTAACACATCTAAGAAGAAGTTAACAAAAATCACCTATATTTTATTTCTGGTTTCCAGCATTTTCATTTTGGTGGAGAATGTAGCACTCGTTTGACATAAATAAAACTTATTATAAAAAAAATCAAGTTGAAACTATGGAATAAAAATTGTGGAGGAGATGCAGAAAAAATTTGTAGAGTTCTGAAATTTCTTACTTTTTTTATCAGTGATCCCATGGAAGAAATATGTTGTCTAAGAGTGTCATACAAATCCTTACTAGGCAGAAAGTCAATATCTGCCAGAAACACATAAGGAGTGTGCACATTACTCAGTCCAATGTTTCTCAAAGTATTTATTGGATAGTACTCCTGAAAAACAAGTTAATCAGAAACTGCTGATCCGATTATATATGGAGAACTCACTCCTTCTTTGAAAACAGCATGATATGCCACATTCAACCTTCCTTGCAATGTCTGAGAGTGACTTATGAAAGTAATACTTTGTGACAGTTCATAATCGGTCACATACAATGTTAAACTTATTGGACCTGAAATATCTTTAAGCTCACAAAAACTTTCACATGAAAAGAAAATGTTAACAATTTTCTCTGAATACTAACCTGACCACGATTTGACAAGCTCTTCGATCATTTGCAGCCTGTCAAACGACAACTGAGCAACAAAAGTAATATCATTGTCGACTGACATATACTTGTACTCCCGAAAATACAATAATGTCCTCCAGTGACTGCTGGTGAGTTTACGTAGCTCTAGACAAAATTCCCCAGATTCGTTCTGAAAAAAAAGTGTTTGGAAAAAAGTTAAGTCACCTTACAATATATGAACTCACTTTTATTTCTCCTCGAGATGCATCACAAGAGTGCAATTTTTTTCTTAGAAGGTTTCCATTGTACTCTAAAAACCCTGTTGCTAAACTACGAAAATATTCCCCATCTTTATTCTCAACATTATATTTCTTTGGTGAATTCCAATGCACTATCTACAAACAAATATTTTCATTAGGATACAGATATCATGTAAACTTAAAATCAGTAATAAGATCAATTAGATAATGGTTAGTGAAATGCAATTTTTTAATATTTTATTATTATATATTGTATTCAAACAGTTCAACTGAAGAAACTAGTGTGCAGTGAAACACGATTTGAGTAAAGTTCATAGTGTGAAAGTTTCAAAGTATAAATAAAATGTTGGCTGGCAATAGATTATTTTTACAACTTTAGGTCCGATTTTTGGGCAGAGTTTCAATGCAATACCTTCGGTGGGACCTTGTTAGTTTGAAGTATTATTGCCGTTCGTCAAAGGATATGAACCTATTTCAAGAAGCCCTTTGAAAAACCGCTCACACTACAGTTGTACTGACAGCAATCTTTGTAAGTACAGGAAATGGATAAAAATACTTGAAGTACACCAGGACCAACTCAGGAGCACAGTAGACTTCCCAGAAGTTTAGGGTAAATTTTAAAAGACTTATTAATTTACAGTAAACAATAATTAATTTGACCGAAAGTTCCAAGTCTGCTGGAACTGCAGCATTGTCTGGCGAGAAATTGAAAAAGAAAAAATACCAAAATCTTGGAAACAACTATCTGTTTCATCCAGTAGCGGTTGAAACTTTTGGTGTTTATGGCCCGGAGTCTCTGTTATTCGTTCATGAACTCGGAAGGAGAATAGGCCAAGCAACGAAAGATCACCGTTCTACCTCTTTTTTGATAGAAATAATTGATATTGCTATTCAACGTGGCAATGCTGCTTCAGTACTTGGAACTATTCCTACTTCACATAATTTTGATGAGATCATGCATTGCCCTAATTTCAGTACGAAACTGAAACCTCTTCCAAACAAGCCAAAATATGAGGATATTTATCAGTCTCCTATCAAGGTTAATTCACAAGTGATTGATCCACCTTCTTCTTTTTCAGTGCGGTCAGTGGACTCAGGTCATTCTTGGCCCCAAAAAATGAGTTGCATTCCTCATAGAATTGGTACCATTTCAGTGGAAGCGCTTCTTGAAGCAAGAGCCGAATCGATCCCTCTACGAAACCCTTTTTCACTTGGAAGGATCGATCGCAGCTTGAGAAATGATTCTTATGGAGATTCTGTGAAACGTGTTCTTCCTTACGAATCAGTAGAGAGTTGTCCTAAAAATCTAGAGAAGAAAATTGGATTGGATAATTTAGGAAACACTTGTTACATGAATAGCATTTTACAAGTGTTGTTCATGACGAAGAATTTCAAGAACGAAGTTTTAATAATGAACGAGAACGAGAATGTTTCCTGCTTATTCATCAAACTCAAACAACTGTTCATGCAGCTGCAGTTTCGTAAGAAGGTATCATCTTTCCCTCCAACCGATTTCCTGAAGTCTTTGAAGTCCACTAAATACTCGTTAGGGGTTCTTATTGAATACTCTTCGTGAGCAAAACAATAGCAAAATCAATACTCCCAGCCGCTCTGGACTGAATGATTCCGTACAACCCATCTCGTCTTGTGTTTGTAAATCTTTTGCTGGAAAAATCCTCACTTGTTTACTTTGTGGTAAATGTTCAAGAAGAACTGAAAACTTATGTGAATTTCTGAAACTTCATCTAGCTTTTCCTAATACGACTAATTACCAGTCCGTGCAAAGCTTATTGTTAAATCATCTGAAAATGGAATTTTTAACAGGCGATGATCGACTGTATTGTCAAACATGCGCCAAACTAACTGACTGTTATAAGGAAACAAGTATAGCTGAGGCACCAGTCAATCTAATAATAACACTGATGATTTTCAAACAAGACTCAACCTCTAACGGAAGCAAGAATCTCTTTGGAAGGTTCGAAATAGATGAACATTTCAACCTAGCAGACCACTGTTATAATATTCATGCAGTCATTGTTCACTGTGGTTCTGGCGTTGAATGTGGTCATTATTACGCCTTGGTCAAAGAAGAAACGGCCTGGTATAAGTTTGACGATAGTCGTGTCACGAAGTGTTCTGGTGATGCACTGAATTTATTGGAGCCTCTGGAGACACCCTACATTTTGTTTTATGAGAGAGAGGACATTGTTAGATCAAGATCTTCAGATGATGTGGTGCTGCAGGTTTTTCCGGGTTTTCCTGCAGCTGAAAAAGCAAATGCGCCACTGGAATCAATGAAGTCGCCCCGGAGCGCCAATTAATTTTTATTGTTGTATTTATTTTATTTTTATCGTTGTTTTAACATATTGTAATAATTTTACAACTTCATGCAATAATTTGACCGAACTCCCAAGTTCTAAAAGTAGTTATAAATTGGAATATAGATCTTCATCAGTTGATTAAGGAATACAGATATAAAGCTGCAGTTAGAGTTCAACATCGTAAAAGCTGCTTCCGAGAAAAAGAAAAGTCACTTGAGAAGGGTAACCTTGTTCGAAAAAACAAAGTTGTAAGAGATAATCAAATAAACACTATAAATTATGCAAGGCGTATTGAAAGTACGACCCCAATATAATCATATTTGTTTTTGCAAATACTACTAGGTCAAGGATATGTAAACATTGAAAGCAAGCACTCCCATTTCTCTGATTATCCCCTTACAGCTAGGTTTCTGGTTCTGGATGTGTAGAAACGTTCGACGAAATCCAAAGTTACTTTTATAATCGAAAATACAAACATGAATCATAACATAACATTTTACAGAAGTTTAGAAGCATTCTTGTCCCAAAAAACATTTTTATATGGTGAGTCAATAAAATTAATTACAAGATACCCCTATGGAGAGGTAACTTTTTTTGTACAAATCTTAAATGTGTACTGAGTAACCTGTTTCATAGTAGAATATTTTCATGCTGTTTGAAATGGCATATTATCGGTGAAGTGTTGTGATATACTGATTGCAAGAAAGAATTAAAGTAATACTCAAATATTGCAAAACAACTGAAAAGTAGCAAGTAATAAAAACTTTACGTCATTTTGACATTGATGGAATTGACACACATTAACTTAGAAGCTTAAGTTCTCACAAGACTGAAAATTGGTAAACCAAGTTTATCCGACTTCACCGAGCTGTCCGAAGAGTTGTAGGAAAAACAAAATTCAGATATAGAGTTACCCAATAATATAGACATTTATTGTGTTGTTTTGATGCAACAGTGAAGAAAAATAACAGAAGATAAGTTCATTTTAAGAAACAGAATCAGTTCTCCGAAGATCCGAAATTGTTCGTTTTTGCAATATAATCTACAAAATTAGAATTCTCGAATGAAAACGTTTAGAATGTTTAAAAATCAATAAAATCAGGAATTCGAGTAATTTACTGAATGATCAATTGAAATTGAATAACTCCCCTTCACTAAATATTTTTTCAAACGTGGAAACTGGGATATAAGCTCAGGTAATTTATTTCATTACAAACTTAGGTAAAAACCAGGTACTTGAAATGTAGGAACTTCAAATTGTAGAATAAGGTATATTTAGCATTGAATATAAAGACACGCCCGAAGAAACCATTGTCTGACGAAACACGTGTGGCGTTTTTGTAAAATCGTTTAGTGAAAACTTCATAATAAAGTGTTTTTTGAATACGTTAAACAATAAGTGCTACATTTGTAAAAAGGTTGTCCACTTAGCTAAACAATGTTATTTCAGAAAAAAGGTTGAACAAAAAACTGTTGAACATTGTACAAAGAATGCTGGTTTTTTAAAAGCTCAGAAAATTAAAATAAAAAAGGTGAAAACAAAACAAGTGATATCAATGCATTAATGGTATTCTCTGAAAATAAAATGAAGAAACGATTAGCTGGAATTTGGAAACTGGAGCCAGTGTGCAGCAACCAAAGCCTCTTTAAACAAATAAAGTGAGCCATCTCAGTGGTATATCAGAGTACTTTAATGTTAAAACAATTGAAACCCTAAGTAACTGGCACTGCAAGCTAGCACACCAAAATGTGAATAATATAAAAAAAATCCTAGGAAACAAGAATATAGATTTTATTGATGAAAAATTTGTACAGGAATCCCTCGGAGGAGCATGCTACTTTCTTTTGCTGAATGATGATTTCACCAACTATAGACATGTCTACTTTCTTAAAAATAAAACAGAAGTAAAGAAAAATTAGGAAAATTTTATATCATTAGCAGAAAGAGAAACAGGTCACTGTAAAAGGCTTCCAATAAAAAGTGTAACATTAATAGATGTTTATAGCTCAGTTGCAAAACTGCCATCAATTAGGATTTTTTTAGCTTTTAATCTAACAATATGAATAGGAGTGCCACAAGGGTCAGTTCAGGAAAACTAAAGAGGTTCGATGAGAAGGGGCAATCGTCAGCCTGTATCCAGCAAGCCCCGTAAAAAACGCAGATGCCCTGTCACGGAGACCATGTACCGATGACTGCTCACATTACCGACGAGCAGAATAGAAGGAAGCAGCTATTTGTAGAACTACAGCTGTAGACGACAACTGGAGGACAATGAGATCAGGAAAGACAAACCGAAAGACCCCCAGATCTTGGTTTAGTCATCGGATAGAGGAAAATTAACCAAAGACCATCTTGGCTGGAGGTAGCCGTTTATTTGCCAGTGGTTAAGTCCTACTGGGCCCAATGGAACTCCCTTGCCTTGAAAAACGAAGTTCTGAAGCGGGTGTTGGAGTCTGAAGACGGTAGAGAAGAAATGCGCCAGACAGTGGTACCCAGGAACAGACGACGGGAGGTGCTCAAAGAAATCCATGAAGGAGTCACTGAAGGACATCTGGGAGTAACGAAGACCCTCCAGAAAATAAGACAACAGTTTTACTGGCTTAATCGTCAAGCCAACGTCAAGGAATGGTGCAGAAAGTGTGCTGTATGTGCTGCCAGTAACGGACCTCGGATACGACCGAACCAGCAAAGCAGCATTTTCCAGGAGGAAAATGAACTGACTTTCCAGGAGGAAACTCAAAGACCTACAATGCACAGGGTTTACAGCCATCCTGTGCCACTGACGAATTGCGGAGTGGCAAAGCCATTGTCGATCCCGAACAAGAGTTCATGCAGAGGTAGAAACGGACAGGACTTTCGAAACATGAGATGTGTCGCCGGCGGGCGTAAAACGCAGAAATATCGACGTACAGCAGCTGGAGAAGGCCGTCCGACGCCAGGCGTCAAGATGCCCCCAGGCAGCAACCCTTAGAGATTCCTGGGATGAGTGGGGTGTTTTGCGCGCAGGAGCGCATCACATCTTGAAGGTGCTGGAGGGTGGTGGAAGGCCAGGTGGTCACCCTGAAGGTGAGAGAGGTGAGAAACTGTATTGACGAATCTCATCCTCTCAAACTTATTTTAAAAAATGTATTGACGTGTCTAATTACTCTGTGTTTCTAAGACCAATAACATTATTATTACTATTGGTTTCAGCAGCTCAATAGATTAATTACCTTGATCTAATACCTGATTCCCTTTTTCATGTAAATCCAGGAACAGACGACGGGAGGTGCTCAAAGAAATCCATGAAGGAGTCACTGAAGGACATCTGGGAGTAACGAAGACCCTCCAGAAAATAAGACAAAGGTTTTACTGGGTTAATCGTCAAGCCGACGTCAAAGAATGGTGCAGAAAGTGTGCTGTATGTGCTGCCAGTAACGGACCTCGGATACGACCGAACCAGCCAAGCAGCATTTTCCAGGAGGAAAATAAACTGACTTTCCAGGAGGAAAAAAACCGGCGGAGAGAACCGGCAGGATGAGTCCCTCCAAAAACGACGATTCTGCCTGAAAACAGGAATATTGTCAACACACCGGAGATGACGCCCACTTATGTGGCAACTCAAAGACCTACAATGCACAGGGTTTACAGCCATCCTTGCCACTGACGAATTGCGGAGTGGCAAATCCATTGTCGATCCCGAACAAGAGTTCATGCAGAGGTAGAAACGGACAGGATTTTTGAAACATGAGATGTTTCGGAAGCAACGAGGGATTTCCCGACGTTTCGCCGGCGGGCGTAAAACGCAGAAATATCGACGTACAGCAGCTGGGAGCTGGAGAGCTCAAGCTGGTGTCGCCGATGGGCGTTAAAGCAGATACGGAAGGGAGGTTGCAACGGAGTACAACGAGGAGGCCGTCCGACGCCAGGCGTCAAGATGCCCCCAGGCAGCAACCCTTAGAGATTCCTGGGAGGAGTGGGGTGTTTTGCGCGGAGGAGCGCATCACATCTTGAAGGTGTTAGATGGTGGTGTAGGGCCAGGGGGTCACCCTGAAGCCGAAAGAGGCTTGGGGGTGGCCCCATGGCGGGGCCAGTGTACTGCCATAGCCGCATTCCCGAATCCAATGCTAAACCAGGCATATCAACCTCCCGTCGGGCCCAGACAGGAGCTGAGTTCCGAAATCCCTGGGACTCAGGTCTGGGAGGCCAGCCGGCCGCCTTGACGCGAATGGGTAAATTTGGTAAACGGCGGCGTCGGCGTTGCCGAACACACCCCCGCCACTGTAAACCAATACCATTACTTAGGACAATGTCAGTCATGTGATTTATAATTTGTAAAATACTCATGGCTTTACATTTTAGTCAATTTTTATAAGAATGGAATTGTATCTTCTTAACTTGTATTTTTTTGTAAATCAAATGTATCTACAAGCATTTTTTAGAAACTGTATTGACGAATCTCATCCTCTTAAACTTATTTTAGAAAATGTATTGACGTGTCTAATTACTCTGTGTTTCTAAGACCAATAACATTATTATTATTATTGGTTTCAGCAGCTCAATAGATTAATTACCTTGATCTAATACCTGATTCCCTTTTTCATGTAAATCCCTCGACCGTGGAAGATCTACTCCATCATTGTATCACCTGTAAGCCTACAGTTACGAGAAACCCCAGTAGATCACCTGACAAGAGCATTGCTGGCAGAGGGGTAGCCTTTCCGGAAGAGTATACCTCACCATTCAAGGAGGAACGAAGTCAACATTTCAGAATTAACAAATATAGTCAGAACACAATAGACCTTTCATAAATTGATAACTCTTGTCTCTTATGAGTTGAAACCATATATTTACATTCAATCATGTATTTTTTTTTGAATAGTTAAATCAATTCTCGACACTAAAATTTATATTTGAAATAAATTGTTATTTGTGAACTTCCCATTTTCCTTTGACAGCAATATCTTTCTCAGGAAGGTTTGGCTTCCCAGGCTTGTTTTGAAAAGGTCACAGTTAGTTTTTGGATGTCTCACTAAGACAAGTATCCCTAATCCACACCCAATACTAGTTCGGCGTTTTAAAAAGTTCATGCAGTATGAATTAAGATTTTGTTGGAAGTTATGATGTTCAGCAGACACTGAGCCTTTTTTGAAACGACTTAAGTGCTGAAGTGATGTTGAAGGGAATTTTCAAGTTTCTGGGTAAAGAAAATCTGTTGATTCGGAACTTTATTGCTTGGTATTATCTTTTTGAATATTATTGTACATCTTATATTTTATATTCATTAGCTATTCCTGAATAACTCCAAGTACCTATATACTTTCTTCAAAGCCCTAAACTAATTTTGGGTGTGGGTACGGGACACATACCTTAGTAAATTGATTGATACTGAATACAAAGCAAGTTTGACCTCTGCATTCTCAGCTTCCTCAATTGGGAGAGGACCGGAAAGAATCAGAGATAACAGAGCAATATAGGGAAATGAAAAGTTTTGTCCCAAAAAATCAATTATTGCTTACTAAGCAGCATTCGATAAATATTGTGCAAATCAGTCAGCAAAGTTTCTGTGTTCATAAATTTTATCGAAACCATATGAAAGAGTAATATTTTTAGCAGCATGAGATTCCTCATGCTGCTAAAAATATTAGCGATTCATTCTGTGAAAGTATCTATAGAAGAGAAACAAATCTTCAACCTTTCTTCGATACTCTAAGATTGTTCGAAATCATTTCTAGATCCTCAATAAGATATGCAACCTGCTACTGTAGGTGAAGATGTGCAACTGCAGCCGATGTCTTGGAATTCGAATGGAATAACAAGACAAGTGTGTTGTCGTCAGCAAAGCAATATATTGTATTCTTGTTTTTTCCAATAAGTCGTTGATACATAATAAAATAAGTGAAAATTTGATCCACAATTTAATTGCAAAAAGGACTTCAACCATTCGATTTCATGCAATATTCCAATTCCAAGAGATTGCCGGCGGTCATTTGTTTTTTCCATCTATATTCAGGTTTTTTCTCTGAACTTCGTCAACATGGATCATTTGAACTTTCAAAATGTGGACAAGATGGTCTGCTATGTTGGTTTCAAACAACTTTCAGTTATATTTTGACGGTTTGCTAACTTGGTCATTCCATAGTTCATAGGAGTAATTTCACAATGAAATTCGGTTTATAAATTGCTTATAACCATTAGTTCACTGCAGAATCCATTGATGTACTTTATCAGAATGAGTAATACATCTCGTACGTGATTTTTCTTGAAAAACCTGATGTTAACTTGAAATTAACAAAGTATTTTTTGATACATTTTGAGATATCCCGTGCTTCGCACATACGTAAGATATGAATATTTTCCTTATGCGTTCATAATTCTCCCAAACCCTTTTCTATTTATTCATGTTTACAATAATTTTCGACCAAAAACTCTTATTGCTACACCATTCTTTAACAAAGAGTTTAAAAAAAAACTTCTGTCATATTATCAAATGTATGAATAAAACACTACCAGAGGTGATAGGACTCACATTTCCAATGTTCTAATGTGGAGCATAAGATTATTCGAAAGGTATTATGTTCTATGTAAGATACATTAATTTTATCTCATCATATAATAGTATCTATTAGGTAAGACAGAACAGTTAGCAGCTTTTCCTTCTGATTCAATACTAAATCACACCCTTTATTCGACCTTCATTATAATTTAATAAAAACCAAATTTCAACCGTGTTATTTTAGATAAAAACAATAAATATCCGCAATTTGTAATTACCTTCACTTTCCTGTCTTTATAACACTCATAGCTTAAGGTATGATCACTGAGCTGCGTATTCCAAACACAAGGCAGTTCGTAAAGAAGTTCTGGGTGTTCCTTCAACACCAAATTTATTATGTCCTGATCAGCTAACTGGGTGGAACCATATATAAGGGCATCCTTCTTAGTTAGGTTTGACCATAATTTAGGCCAATCAATCTTCTTTAAAACATATAAATTGTACAACAAAACGCCCGAATTGAAGCTGAAATAGAAACAAGTTGATCTACTGAGGTAACACTTCATTGTGAGATTTTCACTGAACGCGTGTGCAATACTTGTTGCTGTTTTGTATACTGTTCAGTGAAAATCTCACATTAAGTGTTACTTGAATAAGTTATGCATTTTCATCGAATATTGAACCAATTCCATAACATGCCAAGTTAGTCATATAGTGAGAACAAATAGTACCTTCCCTTTTCAAGTTTTGAACGAAAAAAAATATCAAGGTCGGATAAAATTTAGGTATCATTTTAAGTATTTTTTGATAAGAAAGAAAGTAGTCTTACCATCACTCGCTACCGAGTAAACTCACTTCAGAAGATTATTTACAAATTCATTGTGGAATGTTTCTGGGGCAATTTCGTTATGAGCACCTCTTATTCTAATAGCACCTCTGGAGTATACTGTGGTTGTGCAAAGTAAACTTTAGTTTTCACCAATTCTCAAAATAATGTAAGCGTGTCATATCAAGTAATGCACGGGTCCTCCTCTAAGGGATTACTTATTCACTGGTTTGGATAATTGTCATCTAGGCACTTTCAAACCAGCTCTACGCGATAGAAATGTACCTCATCTGGCTGAAACCAAGTATTAGTTGAAAACTCATTCAGCTCTGACAATTATATGTGGTTCACAAAAAATTACACAATGAAGGCAATTGGTTTATAATTGTTTAAGGGCTCAAGCAAAAGTTTTATTACAATTTTTTATTTGAATAGTCTTATTGAAACTATTAATATTGTGATATCTGTTGATGAAATGGTCATTTGTTCTTTTCAGATGTATGTACACTTTTACAATAAATCAACGCACCATTTTGAAATTTCAAAATGTTGGCATTGAAAAAAAACTAGTATAATTTTATAGTTTGTGAGGCACGTATAAACTATATGTGGAATCGATATTTATTGACTGTCGAAACCACATGTCTTTGGCCACTTGCCTGGCCAACGTCTTTTAAAAAAATATGGACCTATGACGCCGCCAGTCCAAAATCCACACCAAACAGTGACTTTATAGGGATGCAATGATGCTAACATAATGTATTTTTTGCCACATTTACTATTTATTCCTTTGCAGGTAGTTTGCCGACTACTTTATACCAGTTATTATCAAATTTCTTATTTATTCTTGTGTATATTTTCCAATTCACCATTAGAAACATCTTGTTGAATTGTTGCATTATTATATGTTACATTATTGCATCTGAAAATATTATCTTCTTCCGCTATGATACTCTTCACGAAACACAAAATATGAACAGCAATCCTCTATAGATTAAAATGTTTCATATCAGCATTTTTCTACCTTTTGTGCTATTACTTACAAAAATACATGATTTCCTAAACCAGTGTTCAGTGTATACAAATGATGGTTGCATTTCAAAAGTTGTCATTAGGTCATCTAATTCTAAAACTTTATTTTTGAGTGATTACATATTTTGATGAAAAACTAAGTAGTGATTTCCATTGAACTTGTATTTTTGATCAAGTTTTGTATGAAGTTCACATATTAGTTCATCAATTATGCTATTTTTATGGTCAGGCATGAAAAAGCGATTTTAGATTTAATCAAGTATGAACGAAAGCAAGTATGAATGAAAGCAAGTATGAACGGAAATATATAAGGGGTTGAAACCAATGGTGGTCGAACCCATAACGTATACATCCATAGTCTGGTGGCCACAGATGAAACAAACGACCGCTATTAACAAATTAGGCCGGATACAAAGACATGCATGTTTAAGAATAATCGAAGCAACGAAAACCACTACAACAGCTGCATCGGAGAAGTGAATTTATATATATAAAACACAAAGAATACTGGGAAAATATACCCAGGGACACATGGAAAACCTTTATGAAGGGAATATCCGAAAAAAAGAACTGAAGAACTACTTCAACAAAGCAGGGATCAATTTGGAACAATTACGAGGTTACTTATTTATTTATTCAGTATAAACGGAAACCCCTGTTTTACAATGATTGAATACAAAATTATATAATTAGTACCC